GCCAGCTGTGGTAAGGCTATGTAACTAACTTTCATATACAAAAACATTGACTCTAAAACTCTTAATTTATCCATGACACTACATATTACTGACATTGTACAATGTTCTTATTTAAATGCTATTGCTGTCACCTATGTAATATACAATTACCTCTGCAAATTGCACAAATGTCTTCAATGTTATTAGCAAGCCCAAGAAATAAGTTGCCACCAGAAGTCCCTTTAGCTAACTTTCACTGTTGAATGTCAAATCTGTACAATTAAAATTTTTCCTTCTCATGCCTGACCAAATTGGGTTCCATCTCAGTCTGATTTAAGTTATCTACAACTGTCCAAAATATTTCCAGAAAAGTTCAAAAGACCTTTAAATGTGCAAAAAGTCTCACAACATTGTTTTGGTATCAAGGAAGTGTATTAACTTCTGAAAAATCATAAAGTTATAGAATGGAGCTCTGAAATCATTGCAGAAAGGTATCTGCACATTATTTAGATCAATTCCCTCACTCGGCAGAGGAAGAAGTGAATTCCAAGTAATATTTTATTTATTAAGCTAATACAGGGTGCACAGAGTTCATTTTTTAATTCTTCTACTTCACATGGACACAGAATATATTCTTTCTGTGTTAGAAATATCCACTAATTGGGAAGAAAGGAGGGAAAGAAAGACAGAGGGGGAAAAAACAGAAGAAACAGAGGTAGGAAGATGAAGTTCCTCAGGCAGAGACTCAAAGCCGGGACCGGACACCTAGCATCCCCCGGTGCCTGGCTGCCATCGTCCACCTCACCGTTCTGCCTCTGACCCAGGGCTGGGTCAAGTTAAGCTACAAGTTTCTCCATCCACCCACCATGTAAGGGCCTAGAGTTCTACCCAGTCCATTTAGCAGGCTAGTTGGGGGAAATATGTCAAGGGACATTGTTAACACCATTCAGAAAACCAAACAAAATCAGAAAGCAACCTCATCTTGCTCCACAGAATTTCTGGTCATCAAAAAATGGGAACATTTCAGAAAATTTTTACCCAAGAAACAAAGGCACGAGCAAATAGAATGGAACTTCCACATTATAAATGTGACACATTAACCCAAGTCAACTTTTCCAGGATGAGCATGAAAGCCAAAGATCGGTGATATATTATTTTTATCAATTTAATGTAACCTATGGCTGTTGAGCTCCAACGACGTGGTAATAGCAGTTTGTGGCTGATGACACGGTACAAATGTGGGATGTTGAAAGGGCACTGCCCGGGTCAGCCAGGCTTCCTGGACACGATCGTGGCTTTGCTGGGAAATCGCTGGTTTTCATCTATAAAATAAGACCAGAAATCTCTACAATAAAGTGACTAAAGCCCCTTACTTCTAATACCATGACATGGCACTTGGTTCCCACATCTTGTGAGATCTACTAATATTATAAAATAAAAACTCCACTTCAGAACTGCAAATTTCCTATTATTTTGCACCTGGACGTTGTAAAAGACACAAATTAGGGCTTTTCAAACAAAGCTGGGCATCAACTTCTCCTGAGAACACCTTGGAACTCGCATTCCTATGACCCAGCCGAGACCTAGTAAATACAATGCCTTGTAGAGGGGGCACCTTTGAGGATCAGCATTTTTATAACACACCCCTAAATGATCTGATGTATAGCTAGACTCAAATGTCATCACGACATTGGGTAGTTTCATAACCCAGGATCCATGCGATCTAGGAATATTAAATAGGTTAACAGGTCGGGGTGTCTTAATGAATAATTAAGATTTTCTTTTAAATAAATCTCTAATGTGACCAATACATTTTTCATACATACCTCCAATCCAGACTGTGAACATGAAGGATGAAAAATTAAATTAGATAGTCTGCTCAAGTCAATAAATAAGTCATGCCTCAGGACGGGGCTACTTCTCACAGTTAATGGTGTGAAAACGTGAAAAGGAAATGAAGAGTATTCCGCAAAAGGGTGGGGGGGTGAGAAACCCACCCCTCATTATTCATGTGTCAGGAGGTTTTAACATCCTCAATGACATTTAAAAGTCACAACAACATTAGGGATGTAATCGTCCCACTTATTACTCGAAAGCTTACCAAAAGCTTCATTTCTCCAGATTGGGCTTTTTAAATGTCAGCATCTGAATCGACACAACACAGTCCAAGCAAAAATTTCACACTGAAAATGTCTGACAACAACAGACAGAAACAACAAACAAAAGAAAACAGACATGAAAGTACATGTTTCAAATATAAATTTTCTTTGTAAATATTGAAACAAAGGTTTGATTTTAAGGCTATGACCTTGGATAAGTGATTACGCAAAAGAATATCCATAGAAAATGTTTTGAATTTTCATTGGTTTCAGGTTTTAAGATTCAGCCTTGACTGATACCTTGAGGATAAAGTCCTACAGCAAGTAAGGTTTGGTTTTAGCCACAGGGTAGCCCACAGCTCTGGGAGTAGAAATGTATGTGACCATCCCATGGGTCAAGTACAATCCTGATTTAAATAAGTTAACTAGGTTTGATATTATTCCAGGGCCTGGACCCGCACAGTACAATGATTGTGCCTTCTTTCTTTCTAATAGATTGAACAGATTCAGTGTCCTTTTTATAGAAATTAATCAATGTACCAAATAACATGAACACATACATAAGCCTCTCCACAAATCTGTCACAAGGAAACAAGAAATATTTTCATTACTAGTGACCATTTCTCTAAAGAACTATAGCCATTGACAAGCCTGTTTCTAAAACTGGAAAAGAGCCCCTCAATACCACCCCAAAAGTAAAAACTAAGTTTTCACAGATCCAGGAGAAGATTTTTAACCTTCAATATAATACATCCTAGTCAAAAGGTGTTCAGATGGCAGGACCTTTATATTCCTATCCACCTTTAATAATCCATGGAGTTACAATCCCTTGAATAAAATAAAAAATGTCTGTATTGTTTTCCTGTGTCTTAAAACAGCAACTCACTGTATGAATTTCCTTTAGTCAACTTATCAACAGCACCAACACTTATACATTTTATAAATTATTTCCTCTCCAAGTGCCACTGTCTCTATAAGCCCTAAAGATAAAAGAAAGAGAAATATTTATTATAGATCATGTTGTGGGCCACCTAGCATAGAAGATGCCTTATTCACTTTATCTAAATGGATCTTTACAGTCACCCTCCTCCTGAGTGGTTTTTTTGTTTGTTTGTTTTTATTTTTGTTTTGTTTTGTTTGTTGTTGTTGTTTTTTGATTTGATAAAGGAAAAACAATTCAGGCTCATGGAAGTTAAATAACTAACTTAAGTGTACACTGCTAAAAAGTGGCAAAGTGGGGATTAATCCAAGTCTGACTCCAAAGCCTATGTTCCCGCCAGCCTAGCACAGAGTCCCCCAGTTTGGGGTTGGCTAAGAAGGTAACAATGAATAAACATCTTTCTATTATCCTGTACTTATCTCTAATGGCTTATCCCCATTAATCTATATTTTCTTTATAATTTAATAAGCATCTTTCTTAAAGATGGGTTATCTGAAGAATTCTCTTGCAAAGGGAAGAATTACAGAATTTGACACTCAATGCAAGAATAATTTCAGAGCTCTATTTTTACAAAGAAAGAGAAAAACTGACCACATTGATCATCCAGGAATACCAATGAAAGATTAACACAGAAAGAACACAGGGTCTTATAGAACCCGCAGAACTGAGCAGACCACTCAAATAATTTGGGAAATGAATGAACATTAACTCATTTCCTTATTAACACGTGACATAGTTAGGCTAAATTTTTACAAAGGTGCAAACATTAAGAAGGTGTATAATTAGAAGCAATTATTTCTCCAAATTCAACATGTGCAAAAATAAACTTCTGTGCCATCTTTTCTTCCTTTCAAATGAATTATTCTCCCAAATGTCCCTGTAATAGTACCCTTGTCTTCATTCACCCAACATCAAAAACCTTCTGTCTTTGACCCTCTACTCTCCCAATTCCATACTCAGTCATTTTTAATTCAGACTCTTCAATACCTCTTATCAGTCCCTCTCACTCCGGAAGAGCATTTCCCGGGCTAGACTGGTGTCCTTTTTTCCCTTTCCCACAGATACAGAAATATCCCCCCTAGAGCCTCTATCTTGATAACAATCCCTTGGGCACACTGGGGCAAGATGTATAATTCCAAAAGGATATTGATCTTAGAACTCCCAGCACAGAGGTTTTTCATAATTAAATTGCCTATAAGCCACAGCTGACATCTGGCTCCATCCAGCCTCTCTCCCCAAAATCTTAGCTTCATTTACTCCTTGAAATTTACTCTCTGTACAAGCTAACCGGTTCTGGTTACTGATTATTTTCCTCAGCTCTGTGCCTTTGCTGAACACACGTTATCACCAGGAATGTTCTTCCTCTTTGCTTTCCCCATAAAACAATCCTACCCATCCTTTAAAACGGAGTTCAAAGACCATTCCTCCACAGCCTATTCTGCTCTCTATGGCTGGGAGAAATTACCCCCTCCTCTGAGATTACATAACACTCTCCTTGCTCTCCTATTTTGGAAATGAACATTCAGACTCTTTTACACTCAGTTGGAGTATAAACATGAGGAGATATATCTTATATCTCCTACCAACTGTAAACATATCTCATACAAACATACTTCTGTATCTCCCATGGCATTCAGCCCAAATCTGGTAGACATATGAACTATGAATGTAAGTTAATAAATCTTATATTAAGGCCTTTGCATGGAAAGAGAGCATGTTTCTACCTATATTGCTTTGGCAACCTTTCAGTTCAAGAGAACTAAATGGTACAATATTTTTCAAGAGTTATATACCAAGTGTTCAGGTATAATAAAACTTGCTTGAATTTTCCAACTAGAGAATCAGAGAATAGGAGAAGAAAATATTCATTGATCAGTCAAGGCAATTTAAGCCGAAAACATCTGTCTTGTTGCCAACCATCAGTCAACCCTACACAGAACACAACGCGGGCGGCATGTACAACATCTAACCAGACACCTTACTTTGCTGTAGACGATCATGTTGGGAGAACTCTCCTCTGGATCTGCAATCCCCACCGCTCTTTGATCCCCAGAGCCCTGAGCCATCCTGGGTGTCTTCACTCACGCTGCAAAAATAAATGAATAGAACATTAAGTCATGAAGGTATTATACAAGGAAAGCTTTGAAATGCAAAAAAACTAGGTATCTTTTGGCAGATGTCATAAAAATTAAAAAAGACATAATTTTTTATTTTTCCTCATGTATCCAAAAGGTAAAGGGATAATTTTGGTCTTACCACCCACATACATTCTTCTAATCCCAAAGCAAAATGTTCTCTATTTTTAGCCCAGAATCATGTACCCCAGGAGTGAAAATATATGCTGGTCTTAAACAATCTCCTGAAGACAGAGGAAGCCCCTCATTTTGATGTTGATTTTGTCTCACCAGAGCTCATTTTCTAATTAACGCTATGCATTAAAACATGAATATTTTATCAGGGAAATGCAAATCTAGACCACAAGGAGATGACGCTTTATACCAAGATGATTATAATAAAAAATATCCTCCAATAACTATTGGCAAGGAGATGGGGCAATCAGGACCCTCGTGCATTACTGGTGGGGATGGAAAATAGTGCAGTCCCTGGAGGAAACAGTCCTGCGGCTCCTCACCAAGGCGAACACAGAATTACCAAGTGCCCCAGCAACTCCGCTGCTCAGTACACACCCCAACACCTGAAAACAAATATTCGAACATGTTCTTGTACACAAATGTTCACGGCAACACTATCCATAACAGGCAAAAGACAGAAACAACACTATGTCCATGGGGGATGGGGGAATGGATAACGGAGTGTGCCTGTCCCCACACTGAGATGTTATTTACCATAAAAACGAACGCAGTGCTGATACTGGCTGCAACATGGATGAACTTCGAAAACATCACACTAAGTAGAAAAAAGGCAGACACAAAATGTCACATATCGTGTGAGCCCATTTATATAAAATACCCGGAACGGGCAAATCCATAGAGGCAGAAAACAGATTGGTAGTTACCAGTGGCTGGGGCGAGGCGGGGCGGGAATGGGGGGCCTGCTTCACGGATGCAGGGTCTCCTTTAGAGATGACGGAAATAATTTGGAACTGGAGATGACAGTTGTAAGACACTACAGATGTGCTGAAAGCCACTGAATTACAGACTTGGAGATGGTTGATTTTAGGTTAGGTGAATTTCACCTCAATTAAGAAAAATAAATATGTTCAATTTGGTCTCAGTCAAAGCCTAAAAACAGTGAGAAAGTAGATGGATGGAATTTTTGAGTACAGAGGCAAGTCCGGTTCTTGGGGTGACACTGTATTTGCTGTGTGACCTTGAACAAGTTAAACAACCTGTTAGCTCCTTTGGCTAATGTCCCTTTACAACCTATGAGTCGGACGCCGGCTCTGAGACTCAGAACCAGGCCCAGCTCCTTCCCCTACTTTGCTCTCACCAGGAAAACAGGCGTTTCCTCCCAGGTAAGTTGAATGTGAAAGTCTAGTACAAAGCCATCGAAGCCCTATACAAATGTTACCACTAATCTAAGGGCCTGCCTGGGTTATTCCTACAACACTCACAGGCTTTTCATCAAAGAAACTTTTATAAATACCATACTTGACAGAAAAGATCATTTCAACTTACAATAAAAACTCAGGAAACATTTTATTATGCAATATGTTGGTCCCAAAGCTCACTCCATAAAGACGGATTTGAGTAAAATACAGGAGAGAGACAGGAATTCATAATTTATGGTAAGAATTTAATTGCCTAAAATATCCTATTTGCATAACATCACCTGCTTTCTTCCTCATTGATGAGTGAGGAGATTTTAGAACTAAATTACATAAAGAGATAAAGAGCTTCATTCTATTACCTCTGTCCAGCATAATGTCAGTATTTCTATGAATACAGTATTACTTGGAAACACTGATTATTATTCTAATCAGTGGCTTTTAAAGTTAAATAAACAAAACAAGGTTTCCTTTTTAAACAACTACTTCGTTTCCTGCGCCTTTTACCTTAATACAGAACAGGACAGGGCACGAAAAACAAAAACTGAGTCCATTATGTCCTCTCATTCATCTATGGAACACAGCCCTTTCAGGTTTCTGAGGCTTTATTTTAAAATGAACACTTTCTCTTTAATGAGCGTAATCTCTTCTGCCTAGAAAAACTGTGTTATCATGGCAAGGTTGGAAATGACCTAGAAACAAACGTGTCAGCAGCTCTCCCTCTGCCTATCCCTGGCTTCCCCCTGCCACCAGTGGGAGTGTGTTCAAACAGGCTGATCTTGCTGGGGCTGGACTTTAAACCATGGAGCGAATGCGGGCCATCTTCACGTTAGGAATTCTAGAGAGTCTACCAGTCGGTAGGAAAGCGTCTATTTTTGGCTCCTCTATTAACTCATTTTGAAACTCAGACAAGCAATCTAACTTTTCTGTATCTAGAAAGAATCTCATCTAAAATAAAGAAAGAATCTCATCTAAAATAATAACATAACTACCTTGTAGTCCATACGTCAACAGATGTCAGTGAGAACTGAATGTGATACCTACATGGATAGCTTTAAGTTAAATTCACTGACTACCAGGCTGGCCTCATGAAATCACAGGATCAGATTTTCATTCATTACGTTATGGTGTGAAATACTTATTTTAAATGAACTACAAAAGAAATGAGTGGGGCGTGTTTTAAATTTTGTGGTAGGGCAAAACAACCTCCTTCATTTTATTCATATAATGTAGACTTCACATACGTTCATAGTGAAATAATGCCAAGACTTTTAATATTCGAAGAATGTCAGTGTTTTTCTGAAAACACAAAGCTGCATCTGAGTCGAAAGAAAGCGAGCTAATGATATTTTCCTATAATGACTTGTTGCTAACACAGGAGCGAAACTGAAAATGGGCTCAGAGCACACATTCTACGATCCCAAGAAGAGTCGGTACCGCTCCGTGGTTCCAAGCTGGCCTCTGTCATCACACAGATCCACGCCTGAATCCACCTCCACCACTAACAGCTGTGTGATCTGGGGCAAGTTACTTCTCAGTCCCTGCACAGTGGATGCTGCACGGGGAGGCCTAGACCATTCCCTTCTCTGCAACTAAGAGGCTGTCAGAATCAGATCGAGTCATAGCTTCTCTAGACTTCCTTAAATTTCCTTCCAGCTCGGATCTGGAACCTCAGAACTTCAAATTTCTCATTTTCCTTCAAAGGCTCAAGTATTTTCAAGTGAATAATGGAACTGATAGGATTCCACTAAGATGCAGTGTACTCCTTCTGGAACATCCATCTGGATAACAAGTCACTGAAACTGCCCAAAGAGGCAAGCTGTTGAACAACCAAGATCCATGCGTGGAAGAAGATTTCCTTCAGGGTTTACTGAGGTGGGCCAGACCTAAACTCAGGAATCTGTGTCTGGAACTCAGGAGCAATCCAGGTAAGAAGGGCTATAGGGAGGGTAGAAAAGCTAGTCTGGGAGATGCTGTGAGATGAACTGAGCACCTGTGACACAAATAGATGAGTGAATCTTTAGAAAGATGAGACTGGGCCTGCCGTTTATTCCAAACTTGGGTGGCAATCACAGCAAATGCCTGCTGTTTTCTTTATACACCACCCCCTTCTGAAGCAAGCAGACACTAGGGTATACTAGATAGTAACGCTGAGCAAAACAGGGAGGAAGGGGTGTGATGGCCTGGAGAGGGAAGGAGCTGTGTGTCACACTGGGTGGGGGGAGGGGCACTGCAGTGCAGCTCTGCCCTCACCCAGATTACTGTGTGGCCTTTGGCAATCAACCCTCCCACCCTAGCCTTCCAGCTCTTCACAGGGAGGACGACAACCCCCCACTACACAGGGTTGCTTTAAGTCATGTAAATGCCCTAGCGTGGAGAGAATGAAGAGACTGATCTGCAGTCTTGTTCCAGGCCAGTGTTTAGCTGAGCATAACTTCCAGACCACTGGCATCAGAATCAACAGGGAAGCCCACCCCAACCCTTCCCCTCCGATGTTCCGACTCCTGCATCTGAGATGGAGCCTTCAGCAGTCTGATGACCTCTTCAGGTGATCCTGGTACATGCACAGCTACAAGTAGGATGACTAAAATTACCTTACAATGCCACTAAAATCATCCCATGCAGCTAAAAGCCTTCAGCACCATGCCTGCCACTCCTGGTGCCCAGCCCTCAAAACCTATTCATGGAAACATCACGGAGCAGAGGTAATCAAAGCCTGACTGTAATATAACCTGAATATTTATGCTGCCAAATAAGAATTATTGTTGATTTTATTTCCTCTCCTCCATGTTACATTAAATTTGCATTGTTTGCCTCAGCCCATTAAAATCCAATGGATTATTTTTTTTTTTTGACATCAGCAATGTAAGCCCTACAGAAAAAAAAATTACAAGATGTGTGCTAGCTGGGTAGTACAGGCTTGTTTATATAGCTCCAATCTGACTGAGTGGGCAGGAATCTCAAGGGGAAAGAAGGAAGAACAACAGCTCCAAATAACAAATAACTCTTTCTGCTCTAGCAGAGTCTGCCGACTTGACATCCCCTATATACTCAAAGTTCAAATGCACAGTGACAGATCGAGTGTCTGTTTCAGGTAATGAACCAAAGACGGTAAAGCAAGGCAACAGTGCTCAACCCGTAAAGGCTGAGTTTGGTGGCATTAATGGGCTCCCAGTAGTTTCCAGGGATATAATCACCTGATCATTTGAGGACTTCAGTTGGAATGATGGCCTGTTCAAGGGCCTGAGCCACGCTATCCTCAGACTAAACTGGGAGAAACTAAATATATTTCTCAGCAGGGTGCTGTGCCTCATACCTCTACTTTGGGAGGCCAAGGAAGGAAGAACGCTTAAGGCCAGAAGTTTGAGACCAGTCTGGGCAACATAGTGAGACCCCATTTCTATAAAAACTTTCAAAAATTAAGCAGGCATGGTGGCACATACCTGGAGGCCCAGCTATTCAGGAGGCTGAAGTGGGAGGATCACTTGAGCCCAGGAGTTCAAGGCTGCAGTGTGCTATGGTGATGCCACTACACTCCAGCCAGGGACAGAAAGAGAAAGTTTATCTCTAAAAGAAAA